CGGCGGGTCGGGCCGGGCTCCTCCCGCCGCCCTCCCCTACAAAGGGCCCCGCGGAGCGGGCCTGGGGAAGCTCCGCCGCCGGGTCTGTGTGCAAATCGCGCTCAAAGAAGTATCTTTTCTAAAAAAAAACACGTTAAAAATCCCCCCGTAAAGCGCCCGAGAGTTTATTCTTGATTATTACACACGTATTTATTTATTTCTGCCTTTCAAGTTGCCGAGGTTTGCGCGTAAGCGCAGCAAACCAGAGCAGGATCGTCTCCCACAAACGCTCCGGCGGTTGTAAATCCCGAGCGGAGCAGGAGAGAGCGAGAGCGCGTAATTGCCGCTGGAATTTGTTTGAAATTACATAATGAAAGGTTGTACCCCAAGTGAAATAATTCCCCTTTGTTAGGCCTTAAACGTGTTTTGGCATTTTCCCGCTTTTGTCTTTTTCTGCTTTTGTTAGGAAAAACCAACATGAGGTGTTCAAACAATACAGTAAAACAGTCACTGCACTGTTCTGCACAGTCGGGCCAGGGTTTTTGGACGGGATAAAAGAGCAGTGCCAGTGTGACTCGAGAGTGAATCTTTCTTCCAGCAAGTTGACTGACTGTTCAGTTGTCTTTGTGCATGTATCTTAAAAATACTTTCTTCAAACATTCGAAATCCGGGGGGAAATCCCTTGGGTTAGTATTAATCTGTATAACTCAGCTGTTTTGAGCCTGGTGAAATGAGGGGACACTTCTGTCGCAATCCACAGCTAATGCTTGGCTTTCGTTAAAAGAAGAGCGAAATACAGAATTTAAACGTGTTGGTTATTAGGGTGAAATGAATGGTTGAGTTTTAAATGGCCTTGAGCACATGAATGGGCCCGTTGGCTTGAGCCGGACAAAGAATCGGGACGTGTGTCCAATAACGCAGGGCACGAGATGGGGATTTCAAAGAATCCAGCCATTGTGCAGGGAGCCCGAGCAGCCCGAGCACCGCATTTCGGTTGGTTTCAGGAACTCTCTTCTACTCGGGTGGTGTTTTTAAGTGCTGTTTGCTGACTGGCGGGCCAGCTTTGAAGGGTCAGAACAATGTATAGCGGTGCGATGGGACTTTTGTTCAAACGGGAGCCTTGTTGGATGTGTGGGACTGTTTTGTCTGTAGGTATTTCATTCATGAGCGCGGTGTACTGCCTTTGAATCCTAGTTTGTGGATTTCAGAGAGGAGTAGAGGCAGAAGCTTGGCCATTCAACAAAATTTTTAATTTATTTTTTGGCAAGGGCTCTCTGCCATCATGTCAGTTGCTATGGCTTCCTCTATAAAACAGAAATCTTACCGTGTAAATATAATTTTTTTTTTTTTTGTAAGTTTCAACCCTCCTGAGAGACAACTTGCTTTAAAGAGTTCCTGAACAGAGTCATGCAATGTTTCTTTTGGTTATTGTCAGAAGTATTCATATGGCTTTTTGTGTGTGTGTCTCTCAACTATTTACATAAACCATTTTTAAAGGAAACATAATTTGAAGGTGAATGTCATGATTCCCACCCCCAACTGCAGTCAAGTACCATGAGAAATTAGCAAAAGAGATTCAGTTTTTGTGGTCTGAATGTTTTGAGACGACTTGGCTTAAGTTGAACTTTACACGCTAGCAATTCCTGCATCTTTAGAAGAGCCACATAGGCAATTTCCAAGTGTGCAGTTTCATTTGCATAATAGGAGCAATTTGTTGCCATCCACAGCTCTTCTGTGGAAATGCAGCCACTGAAGATTAAAATACTTTGCATCCAACATTTCACAGAAGAGAGTTTTCTGTGACTTGTGCACTCGGAGCGCGGCGTGCCGAGGATGAGTAGAGAGGCAGACCGAGATGGAAACTCTGGTGAGCGGACAGTGTCTCTGCCCGGCGCTTTATCGATCTGCGAAGGTGTGCAGCAGCCTTGCTGTGCAGTATTACTGAATGCCTGTGCTGCCACATCTATGAACGTGCCTGTTGGAAAGCAGTTTCCATCAGCGCAGACTTTGTTCCTTAGAAAATTAGTGTTTGTTCTCAGACAGTGAACCCTTTGATGCAGGTACCCTATCTTCATGTGTGTTTGTAGAGCACCCAGCACTTCTGGTATTACTGGAACTTAGTAGTAAACAGTGAAGTTGTTACATTTTTATCTTGAGATTAATGTAACCATATCTCCTTTGTATAAACCACTCTCATGAATGAGCATCTATTTTCGAAAACACAAAGCACGTGTCTTACAGCATACATGGTTGTGTTGTGTTTGTGTACTTTTTTTTTTTTTTTTTTAACAGTACTTAAAGTTTTTCTTTCAGTCTATTTTAAAAAAATCCTCGGGGATAAATTTATCTCAATGAATTTGAAAGGTACAGGATTGGTTTTTGTCTTTGAAGATTGATGGGTATGGGTAGATTGTAAATGGTTTCTCAAGAAGAAAGAGGCAAAAACTATTGTGTCCTCAACCAGCACTAGAAAAATAGTGGAAACACTCTTGTTTTATAAAAGTCTGATTTATTAAATGAAAGAAAATGCAGACATTTACTAAAAGACAAGTAGTGGGCAGGAGGCAAGCGTAAGTGATAGGACGTCTTGGGAGGCAGTGAAATAATTTTCATGGGTATGTAGCACTGCTGAGTTTTTGGACAACTCTGCAAACGTTTTAAGGAGGAGATGTGGTGTGGCTTTATGGGGATAGTGCCCTGATTTGGAGAATGCACCAGGAATGAGGGAATCTCATTGTGTTGCCTTGTCTTTGAATGCATTATCTTTGCAGAAGTCTGCTGACCTTTTTCTGACCCATCAAAGCCCTAATCTAGGAATAGCGATAGCACCTTATGAAGAAGAGGTGAACCTGGACAACTGATGAAAGTATTTACAGAAAGCGCAAAGTATTTATTATGGTAGGGAACTGGCTGTAGAGCCAGACATGACTTGGGTTGTAGCTTAAAACAAAGCATGTTGTGTAAAAGTTGAGGAGCAAAGTCACCACGGGCAGTGTTACTCAGCACTGTTGGTTGGGATCTCTAGCTGTGGCCACTTGGAGGGGAATTTCTAGACAACGCTGCTGTAGCTTTCTGTTCACTGTCTCCATTCAGACTTGCTGAAATATTTTTGTGTGGTACGTAATGCTCTGAGATTGAGCTTCTGCAGGTTTTGCTGCTCATGCTTCCTTCTTAAAATAGGCTTTTGCTCTGAAAAGTAGTTATAACATAGAACTCCTTAACACGATGTCTTTGGAGAAAAGCTGTTTGCTACTACTGGATTGCCACCCTAGTTTAGTCTGGTACGTTGGCTGTGTTTGGTTTCCTGCTAAGGTTGTCCTTCAGGTAGTGGCAGTCGAAGTAAACGCACCCAGTTTATGTGCAGGGACTGTACTGAGGTACTGGAGTGGCCCAAACATGCTGTTATCATGCTTGAATTACGATATGTTTTTTCTGGCTCGTGATTATTTTTTTGAGCCAGGATATGCTGTCTGACTTCAGTGGAAGTTGGGTGTATGTTAAAAGTAGAGTTCTGTCATGCACAAGCCGTGTTTCTCTCTACTGTAAGAAAAGGTGCTTGTTGCAACGTGGAACCTAGCAGAACTGGCTTAAAACCGTGCTGGCCTGTGTAAGTTAAAGGGGACTCTTAAAATGCACCATGTTTAGATAAACTCAGAGGGAAGGTGTCCTTAACTGTTAGTCTTTGTCCATTCGTGCTACGTGGTATTTTATTGTATATGCAGCGTGGTCAAGAAACACCATGTGTGTTTGGGGCTCCTTCACATTAGTCACTAGACAAACATCTACATAGCAATGGGCGTGCTCTGAAAAGCAAGCCTGCGTTTCAAAAAAAAAAAATCTCTTTTTTTGTGCATCTGACAGCACTTTTAATGTATAATAATGGCATTTTCTTTCCCATTCCCCTTTCTCCTTTGCTTGATCCCACAGGGAGGTCATAATTCTGTGATTTTCACCAAACTCTGTTGCAATGCAAGTGAGTGTGATGTGATAAATTCAGCATTATGACGTCACTTCGTGATCATCAACAGAAGATGGGGTATGTGGGAGCAAATCCTTGTGTAAATACAGATCACTGTGATGAATGATAGTCACGGTAAAAGGCCAAACAAGTGTGAAAGCCTTTTCTTGAATGATAATATATTGGCAGTAAAGGCTTTCTGTTTCTGTGCCATCAAATGTTTCTAGCACTCATTGCTGCTGCAGAAGCTGCTTTGACACTTTGTGTATAAGTGTAATATACACTGTTGTGTTTGCTCACCGGTATATTACTTTATACATGGAATTTGATATTCATCTTTGGAGCTTTAGTGTTAATATACAAAATAGAAATATATTGAAGAGTCTTGGGCTATTCAGAATGGGGAATTGAGTGTATAATTATGTAAGTTCTACGATATTAGTATGCCTCAGGCATAAGCACTAAAGAAGTGTTGATACTAATGCTTACCCTATGTATCCTTGGCTGTCCTTTAAATGCTGTGCAGATACGGTTCAGAATTCTAAAATGCTTTAACATAATTTCAGATAAATGTAAGGGTTTATTTCTGTTGCATTGATTAGTCTCTGAGTTTACTACAACTAAAGTATTTAAGATACTTTTCAGTGTGGAAGATTAAAAGAAATTATTTTATATATATATATTTTAAGTTTTGCCATTTTCCAGTTTTGTTACTCCTGAGTCATTCATGGAGGAACATGAGAGGTTTGAAACCAGAAAAAATGATTTTTTTTGTAAAGCTGTGGAGTTTGTCAGCTAGACGTGAGCAAGTAAAGTTGATAATTGCCACATTTTTAGCCTGATTAACTCTCAGGTTGATGGTGTTCCATCGAGCACCTTTTCCAATCCACCAGTCAATATAGAGGTCAACCAATATAATATAACAGGGGACAGTGCAATAAAAAAACATTGCCTAGTGATTGCTTCACAAAGGTGGAATAGAGTTACGGAGGTGGAATTCTGGTTAGGGTCTCAGGATGGGTGGGTTCAACGGCAGATCCATTTTGCAGACAGGCAAACAGTTGGAGAAACTAATGAAAGTTTCACAAGAGAATGGGCACAAGAGTTCATTAATTCCTCGTTCCTACTCCGGCATTTGGTCAGCGAGAATATGTTGTGGTTTGTGCAGCATTTAGCAAACTTATTGTTACGGGCAGCATCAGTAAATTGTCAATTCTAACTAAATGAAAAGGAAAGTCCCTGATCAGCAGGCTGGGCTGGTGTCTTTGCACAAAAGATAAAAATTGAGAATTCAGAGTAGAAGTGGTTTTGAGGGCCTGTTTTTTTTTGGGGGGGGGGTTGGTTTGATTTTTATTTTGAAACGGAAAGGCAGTAAGTATTACAGATAATATTTGAAGCTTTATTTGCAGTAAACATCTTAAATCCTGAGGTTATTTTACCCTGTTGACCTTAAATGTCTGAAAATCATTACGTTTCTTTGTTAACAAATTTGTGTCTGTGCTGCCAATGATTTTATTAAGTTTTAGGGGAGGTTGTCTTCTTTTTTCTTGTTAATACTTTAATGGTCTTAAACCTTCAATACTGTAAATGCTTACACATGTAAAATATTTGAATAATAGCAGTGTGATGTTGGGTTTTCTTTTTAGCCAGAAGTGTTTGCAGGACTGGGATGTTGGTGTACTTCCATCACAAAATATCCTTATTCCCATTGTTGTCTGAATTACTGTGTATTGAATTCAGTAAAAAAAAAAAAATCCCTATAGCTGAGGGTTATCAAAACTTAAAGTGGTACTTAAGAAGCTCAAAAGAATTAAAATGTCAGGGCTAACTTTAATACTAGAAGGAAAAAGTTACTAATATAGGTTTCCTCCTGTGTTCTACAGTCTGTCCAGTGAAGATGCTGTGTGAGGCTGCTTTGAGATGCTAACAGGTATCTTGAACTTTTGGTTTTCCAGTGCAGCATCTCTAAGTAATATTTTGCTGTAGGAGAAGACTAAAGTCTTGATTTTTTAAAAGCATTTATTCACCTTTCCCCACACCCAAAACAAAACCCCAGCTGGTTTTATTTCCATAATTTCAAAGTAGATTTTTTCTACTACTGATTCTACTAATTTCTCAAGTAGAGAAATTTCTACTTGAGAAATTAGTAGAATTTCTACTTTCTACTAATTTCTCAAGTAGAAATAAGTTTAGTTTGTCTTGTGTCCTTAAAAAAAAAATAAAAATAAAATTATATCATGATCATCTTCACAATTAAGTATGCTCTCATTATTGACATGCCCTCATCTCCACTGTCATTTTTATCACATCTAGCAGTAGAGCTCCAAATCAGCGTAAAATTGGGTTTTGACATACTTTAGCCATCTAGTGTACCCGAATGGATGTATCTAAACACATTAAGGAAGAAGTCTGCTCCAGGAAGTGTAGTGGGAAAGAAATGAATCTGAAAATTTTTTACTTTTAATTAAAATATCCTTGCGGACAGATCTAAACCATCAAATTGCCATATTTAGCGTTTTTGTTTTGTTTTGTTTTAAACAGGAAAGTGTCTCCTCGAAAGGGAAAACAAACAAGATTGGCTTTAGTAGCTAAAACAAATAGTCAGGAGGATGTTTGTGACATTTGTACAATGTGGCTGCTTTTGATTCTGGAAGCCCTTTCTAAAAATGGAGCTATCACATATATATATTTGGAGTCACATCCAGCTTTTCCCATCCTGCAAAGAACATTTTTTTTTTTTTTTAAATCTATAACTGGGTCCCAAATCTATTATTTAAATGTGGAAAAGAAAAATGCTTGAGATCTCATGCCAAATTAATTTCAGATGTTCCTGAATATTTACTGGAATTGGTCTTTGTTGTTAACTTTTAATCGATCCATTTGCAGAGCTATATTACAAACCCAGGAACCAGCAGTGGTAATCTGTGACCTGAAAACCGATCACAGAAATGTGATGAAATTTCTCTGGCATTGTGGACCTTCTTTTAATATTCTGATGTAAAGAGCTCAAGGAACGAACCCCTTCACTAAGTGTTCAGCATCCTTTCCATCTCCACACTCTGTGTCTGCGTGACGCCCTCCAGCCAGATTTCCTTCACAATTTGTCAATGTCACGACTTCACGGCTGGCTGGCAGGGGTCTGCACAGAGTGCTGTAGGTTATGCTTTTCCCCTCTGATAGCCTCAGCCTTTCCTTTCCAAGAGAGGTAGGCTCTCCAGAGTCTGAATTCTGCATCACGGCACATATTGCTACCAATAAGGCTGTTGGTTCCGAGGCTAGAATTTCTGAGCTGTCTGACAGGAGTGTTGAGTGAACGTTAAATTGCTAGCAGCAAATTTCTACCCAAAACCAAACCTCAGATGGTCAAAAATACATTTAGATTTCTAATGCCATTAAACAGTTTCATGACAATCAAAACACACTGGTCTGTCTAAAACCTCTTCTTGCTCTCTAGAAACTTAAGTGATAATTGTAGGCATTAAATCTGCATTTTCAATAGCTGTTCTTCCTAACTGTATCTTTAATCCAGATCTTATTACTGCTACTGCAGTTACTCACCTAGTCAAGTAACAGCCCTGAGAAATCTGGGGGTTAGCAGTGCTCTAACAAGTTTTTGAAATGCAGAGAACAATTTGCACAATGCAGTACTAAAGACGATGTAATAGAGATCATCCTACTTAATAGCCTATTTAAATCCTTGACAACTTACAGTAGTAGATCCCTTTCTTTTGAATCCGAAGTTTAACTTTAACTTCTCCTGCATTGTAATTTTATAGGGAGAAGAAGTGGGTGACAGTTGGCGACACATCCCTAAGGATTTACAAATGGGTACCAGTAACAGAGCCTAAAGTCGATGATGTAAGTATCCTGCAGATGTCTTGCTTTTTTCAAGTTGTAGCCACTCATGTTTAGGGAAAGTCAAAAGAAATATGCTGTCTATGCTTTGAGCCTTTAAGCTAAGACTGGTGTGGGTCTTGCAAGTGAATAGAAGAGCTGTAGGGAAAATGTTGATCTCTACAGAAAGTGATGGTGATGGTTCAGTGGGTGGCAGTCTTCCCAGAGTCAGCTTGGATCTGTTCTCAGATAACTGTTAAACTTGAAACTGGTTTTTGAAACCTTTTTCTAACATCATAACGGGGGAGGCAGGGAGGAAAGGTGAAGACATTGATTACTTTTCCCCTCCTTCTGTCTGATGCTTTAAAGGAAAGTAGCTGGTTTGAAGCTGTGCAGAAAATGTATTCTATCTGCACATCACTGCTGTTTTGTTCAAAAATAGGTGCAAAACACTGAAGCGAGGGTAGGAAGATCCTGTGGAACTGAGATCACTTGCATTAAGATGTCCAGCCCGAGCAGACTTGCTCCTATTGTAATGTGTGTTCTCTCTTGATAAATGTTTTGTGTATGCATCATGTTTATGTTCTTAGTGTGCACTGTTCATGTGCCATGATACAAATCATGTAGCATAGAAATAAGTGTGAATATCAAAGTTGATAGGGCTTGCAAATTGTTTTTCAAAATGAACAATGCTCTCATTTTATAAATTGAAATATTGTTATAGAGAGAAAACTAATCCACGGTACCACAGTGAATTAAAGATACAACAGAATATTTATCCTAAATTTGGTGCTCCTTCCTTGGGCTATCGTGTGCTTTTACTTTATTTGAAATACGAGTTAAGACCTATCTGGAAGAAAACTGTGTTAGTAAATGCATGAAATGATGGTTTTTCTGACAAGACAGTGTCGGGATCTTGTCTAATTCAAAGTTCAAATTCAAGACCTATTTTTGATTAGCGTTGTTTTAACTGAGTTTGTTTCTTTCTGTGCCTTTGGTTGTACCACAGATTGCCGTGACTGTCAGAGTTGTGGCAAGGCTCTTGTATTCTTCCAAAGCTTGAGCAGCATCTCTGTGGAGTAAACCCTTGTGAATTGGGAAACCTTTCTTTGTTTCTTTACCAGAAACTTGTTCGTTCTTTCTAGTCGTGAAGTGTTTGGTCTTGATTTTATTATTTATAATACATATGGGGAAAAAGCTGTGCTATCCGAGGGAGAGGGAGATAATTAAGTTATTCAGGATATTTAGGCTTATGGCTTCTGGAAATGGTTTTCCTGCAGTTAAGGTACGTCTGGGCGATGGGTACCATGGAATTTTGAAACAGAATTTTGAGTGAGTTGCTGATTAAATTTTCAAGGTGACTGGTACCTGGTCAGATTCTCTGTTAAGAATGGGTTTATATAACGGCCTCTATGTGCAGAGTTTAATTGGGGTGTTTTTTTGAGCTGTCATCTTTAGGTTTAGGCTCCAGATTTGCTGAAATTGGGACACTTGTTCAGTTACTTTAGTGTCCTACAGTCAAATTCTGTTCATTGCAAGTAGAGGCTGTTGTGCAGCAGCAGTTACTGCAGGCTTGATGCTGTAAGGTTTCTGTCTTTTTGCTTTGGAAGTTCTCACAATTAAAACAAGTGCATATATTTTAAAAGAAATACCAGGTAGGGATCATCTTGGCTATTTAGTTTTGATGTGGACATCCTTTTATATCTGATTTCATCCTGTGAAGGAGCAGACAGTATACTCACTTTTTATTAGAATAAGAGAATGGGATCTTTTTTTACTGCTTCATGTTTCAAATGGAAGTTGTCCTTGATTTTAGTGAACACAGATTAGGTTACTTCCCCCCCGGCCCCCATGTTGTTCCTAAGACACTTTGACATTTCTTTGAACTAGAATTAGCTAGGCTTTTTCCTCCTACTAGTTTTGGAAGGCTGTTGTAGAACTTCACCACTTTGATGGTTAAACTTTCTTTTAAAAAAACGTTTCAGCTTAAATTGCTCGCTGTCGTTTTTCAGTATTTCTCTTAAGGCAACATTGTCCTTTTTACCTTAAAAAAAAAAAGCTCACAAGCAAATCTGGGAGAGATTATGTCCCCTCTGAACTTTCATTTTGCAGAGGTAAAGAAGTCCATGTGCTTTCACCTGTTTCACATATTAGGGAATAAAGTCTGGCTTCTCTGATGTAAAAGTACAGTTTAAAAATAAGCCTAATAATCGATTTAAAACAGATGGAAAAGTCCTTCTAGATATCACTTGTTGAATTTTTTTCTGCAGTCCTAGACAACGTTTGATTGTGATTTTAGTTCCTCCCCTCGTTGGAGGACACTGTCTTACCCGAATGGATGGGTTGTTGAGTGTTCTTCCTAGAGTCAGGTTTTTAATTGTCTTCTCAGCAGGCACGCAGGATCCTCCAAAAGCAGTGCAGCTGGCTCTTTCTCCTGTGAGACTGATTACGTCACCTCTTAATTGAAAATGCTGCATCCCTTAGCAGACGCAGATTTTCCACGTGATGGATGCCACTGTCTCTTCCTTTGTTTTAATGCTTGCAGTCCATACTGTTTTTTGGTCATGAGCATGTTGTGACCTATTGTTCATGTAGGACTGTCTTGCTTGTGCTCTCTGTTTTAGGCCAATCTGATTTTTCTTAATCCATCTTTTAGTTTTAATGGAGAAACAGCATTAGTTGTAGAGAAGGAGGAGGTCTCTGCAGTGTTGGTCATTGAGAAAGAGGTAAAAAGCTGTCTCTTTAGTGTTAAAATTCTAGATCTGGTACCATTGCTGTTGTGCATGCGTGCATATTGTCTAGGTGTATTCTACAGGCTTTCTCCTATGAGAATGCACTGAGTTTTGTAGCGGTGTGTTGATATGAATAAACCATACAGTGAGCAGAATTCCGAGCTCAGAAATAGGGTATTTTCATTATTCTTAGCCCTGCCTCTGATCAGCAATGTTCTTCCTTTTTCCCGGTGTAGCAGAGGTTCGTTTGACCTTGCTTTTGTAGCTCTTTGAACGGAGTACAAAGTTAGCAGCCAGCACCTCCCAAGTTCTCCGACTCAGTTTCCACAAGCCATTTAATCATCGTGCCTCAGATTCCCTGTTTGTAGACTGAGGGGTATTATTGAGAACTTTTGTACCTTTTACAAAAATTGTGCAGTTGTTTGAAGATGAAAAACATGTCTAAGTGCTGACTGTTATTAGAATTTCTGGATAAAACCCCTATATATCCTAGTGTTTTGTGTCATGAAGAATACAATTAGGAAAACAGCCCTGCAGTTATTGGGACTAGGGCATTATTGATAATGTCAGTTATTATTACAGTGGCTTTATTTCTCACTTGAAATGGAGAGAGATGCTTACAGAAGTAACGAGCCGGAAGGGTTTTACATTGCAACATGGATTTCTCTTCATGGTGATAGTCTCATTTGTTTGCGGTACCTTTTGTTTTTCAGAAAAATAAAAATAAGAAAAAAGGCAAAGATGAAAAATGTGGCTCGGAAGTGACCACTCCAGAGAACAGCTCCTCTCCAGGGATGATGGACATGCATGGTGAGTGGGAGAAGGTCAGCCCCAATTACCCTGCTATGAAGGTATAAGCTGACAGTGTCAGATTCTCCGTCACTTAGATGTATGGACAGCATGATTAAGTCAAAGTGAAAATAGCATCAGATAGTTCTTTAGGTCTTTGGACTTCTGTGGATGTACTGACAGTTGTTTAAATGCCATTTTTATCCGGGCTGTGTGTGGGGAAAAGATTGTTAGTGGAGCTAAATACGAAAATAAAAATAGAAACCATTCCAAATTCTCCATTCAGGTGAAGTAGTAACTCCGTTGGGTTTGCTGCTTGAAGAACCAAAAGAATCCCCAAAGCCTCAGCAGCACCTACTGTAATTTGTGTGGGTTTTGTGCTTTTTAACTCTGTAGGTGATTCAGGTCAGAAGAATTCTGTAAGAGCCAAGAAAATGAGCTCTGGTTCTGTGGTGTCTTCCTTTTGCTTCAGCCTGATGAAATCACCTGGTTAAGAAGCATTTTTTTGCTTGCCAGTCAGGCACTATTTTTTAAATTTTTTAAATTTTTTTAGAGTGAACTGTTGAGTGTTAATTACAGAGGAGCTTGCACAGCTCAGCTCTTGTTTCCATTTTTTACTTTCTAGGTGTTTGGATAACAATTATGGCTGAGAATGAAGCGCTGTTTGAACTGATAAGAAGGGATCACTTTTTAGTGGGTTGTAAATTTTTCCCTTCAGTTTTATTTGCATTTGTATTGCCTCCTGGTTGCTTTTTGCAGCCTTCGCATCAAATATGGTCTTGCAAGCAACTGAGCAGGATTTTCAGATCTGGATTAGTTTTTCATCTGCTTCAAACTTCTTAGCTTTTGCCTTGGTCAGATCATTTAACTTTCTTAAATCTTGTGTCTCCCATCCATGAAGTGAATATACTACTTGCTTTTTTATCATATATCTCTTGTGTTTTTAAGCCATACTGTACAATTTTATGATACACTTAATCTGGTCTGACTTCAAGCTGCTCTGACAAGAGATGGTCCCATCACCAGCTATTTGTTCCTGAACTCCTTTGGATGTAGTGATTGTACAGATGCAGAAGGAGGCAGATGGACTTGCATGCTAGTAATTGAAATAATAAGGGTCCTCTGGGTTAGTTTTCTTCAGGGAGCAGAAGCTTCCCTTTTGGTTACCTGTGGTTGTTAGACCTGTCTTAAAGATGACAGGAAGTTGCACCCTGCTGCAATCCATAAAATATTAGCTGAGATAATTAACCACTGTCTGGTTGTCACAGGAGTAGGGTACAGGCAGAATATTTCCTGTTAACTAGAGAGACGTGGTCTGTACTGCAGAAAGTTACTGTGGTCCAAGTTTTTGGAGGCTGGAGAATATTCTGGACAATCATCACTTAGAAACTATCGATATTGGGACTAGGTGTTACATTTTGCCTTGATGGGGATTTGTTGGGGCTTGTTTTGTTGTGGGTTTGGGGTTTTCTTTTGACCTTTGGGACACAGTTCAAAAACGGTCTGCTCATCTGAACATTGTAGTGATGGGTTATTTGTAAATCTGCAGCATGAACTCTTAATGAGCTAAACTTAAATGTTATATGAACTACAAAATGAGACTGTTGCTTCAGCTGATCTGTTTTAATCATATTACAAAATTCTGGTTTCTTTTTGAAGAAGTATTAGTTTTATTGTATAATACTAGAGCATTTTTTGTTAAGTTTTCTGATTTTTAGTTATCTGCTAGAAAACTCCTGTATTACAGCATAGGATGCAAGACCCAAATTGTGGTGGTGTAGAAAAAAAGTTAGTCAGCATGTTAGTCTAAATGCTTGGACTTGATCCCCACCAAGCTAGACTATATCGTGTTGTGAGGCAGTAATGCAGGAAAAATAGGTTAGAATTAAGATGTGCTTTTTATCTTGTCAAATGAGACCTTCTTGTTTTCAACTCTTTTGTTAACAGATGACAATAGCAACCAGAGTTCAATAGCTGATGCTTCTCCAATAAAACAAGAAAACAGTAGTAATTCAAGTCCAGCACCAGAACAGAACTTGGCAACACAAGCAGACGGCACTGAAGTCAAGTCTGACGAAACTCAGACAGAAGCAAAGGAGCAGCCTGGTTCAGAAGGTAAGCTGAAAAGACCATCTTCAAAGTCAAACAAAAAATGCTGTTCTTCAGTATATCATTTCCTTATCCATTTTAAGAACTGGATAATAACAGTTTAAAATAAATGGGTTTTGAATTCTCAGCATTTATATGAAAATGGGCCATAATCTCTCTGGCCTACTGGTGTTCCTTCCATACAACTGGGAAGGTCAGATTGACATTCAGGGTCTTTTCAGAGAGGAAACTAAAAAAATACTTGGTTTATTGTTGTCATAATCTCAGTCTTGAAAGATGAAATAATTTAAAATCATCTTTAAAATGGCTGCTACCATGTAATCATACAAATCCTGGAAAGTATTACTTTTGTAGATCTGTGAATGTTCATTATCTAGTGTTAGAGTTGAGATACTTTGAAATTATTTTTTTTAATTGTGTAAACTTCAATGTAAGCTTTCTTTTTTTCTTAACCCTGCTAGTTATTTATTCAAAAGTTAGCTCTGAATTCTGTCCTAATTATCTGGAAGTGTTACAGTTATTGTACTGCAGTTGTGCACAGATTAAAAATACATATGGGTCAAGAGATTGTTCTGAACCTCACTCTTTAAATGGTATTTTGGGTAATTGAAACATGCTCTGTATTTATATTTTTGGGAAGATAACTTTCTTCATCCTATTATAACAGATAAAAAATGTCCTTAACACCATTCTGATGGTTTGGTTGCAGAATTCTTCCCATAGCAAAGCAATTAAATTATGTGCTCCTGATTTAGTTCTTAGCTCAGTAGATCCAGTAACCAATTTAAATTTAGAGCTTTTATCTTGGTAATACCAGAATGGTTAAGTATGTTAAAGGTAGCCATTGTTAATTGGGGTTAAAATTGTCACCAAATTGAAATAAATCAGAACGTCATATCCTTCAAAGAAAATCTCAACTAGCATATTTCGTCACAGTAAATGATTTACTCCTAGGTCTAATGTTGCCTGAACCTGCTTGTGTGAAGTTGTTACATAGCATACATGCTCCCTGGACTAAATTTAGGTTCAGGGAAAATCATACCAAGTTCTCTGGATTAGTTCCAGAGCCAGTTACTGGGAGAAGTAATGGCAAAACCCCCCTGCTATTAATGTGGTTTTTTCCTATTGGTTGTAGGCCGTGTTTAAATATTTATTAAATAGTTATTTAACTACTGAAGTGTTACGATCAAATAAACCCCTGGAGCTGTGACGTTATTCCACTGGATAAGGTTAATGACCTTGTAAGTCTGTTGTATGTTACTACACTGATATCGGGGAGGTTCCTTGAAGCTAGGGGACTGTTTGAGTGGTCAGAACTGCCTAACGTGGACTTCTCGAAGAAAACAGATGGATTTGGAACGTTTTGCTGCGTAAACAAGGCGTTTCCGGCATCGGAATAGCTTGGGGCAGTTTAAACTATGGGTGCCCTTGCCCAGAGAGCTGTCAGCAGTGACTGGAAGAGAAGGCAGCAGCGAGGAGCTGCCCGTTGTGGAAGTTGCTCTTCAGCGTGTTTTTGTCATGGGGAGATGGGCACAGCACAGAGCACTCACTCCCTGCTCAGGTTGTAGTATATGCTGAGACACATACAACAGAAATTGAAATTCCTTCTGACACTAGGGACTTGTTTCTCTATCAGTACGAACATGCTTTTCTGGTGAGACGTGGAAGGAAGATGATTCTGTCCGAGTTTGCTGAATATGATCTTTGAGGCTGCTCGTTGCAGGCATCACTTTATCCTGAATTCGGTCAGAGAAACTTTCAGAAATGCTTGTGATGCATTTTATACAGTCTACCACAAAAATACCCATTACTTGCTGGTTATGTCATCTTCATTAAGCAAAGTTGTCCAAAAAAAAATTTTGATCCTTGCATTTCTCTTCATCTGGAATAAATTTATATGTTTCTTGGGTCAGGGACCTGTGGAGAGATCACTTTATAAAATGACTCCATGTGTACTTCTGAGAATTCATTCAAGTCAAAAAGGATTTTTAAATGAGGTGAAGGAAAGAATGGGTTCCAGTCCTTCCACTGTTCTTGATGTGGGTGCTGAAGGAAATATAACTGACCTTTTACAGCAGAGGAGTTCGGGTTTGTGTGGTGGTTTTTGTTTGTTTGGTTTGTGATTTTTTTTTTTTTTTTTTTTTTT